ATACACTAGACACATGGTTTTATTTGAACACTTTATTATGACATCGTAAAGTGATGAATAAGAACACTAAACACATGGCTTTATTCGTAGGCCTAGAGGCTAGGTCTAGCCTAGGTATCATCGTTCATTCGTACATACGTTCATTGAGCGTTACGTACGTATTAGGTCAAAGGTTACCACAAATTTAACCCAACCTCTATTTTACGAATCCCCCGATTTACGTACGCCCTCTGGTCCCGTACCGTACGTAAAATCGAGGTTCTACTGTACAGATATATTCACAGTTAGAAAATTTCCTGCAAGGAAAAAAAAATTAACCAAGAAAGGAATGTAATTTCTTCATTATTATTATTATTATTATTATTATTATTATTATTATTAATAATTTTGTTTTCATTATTGTTGTACGTTTGTGGTATACCATAGATTTTCCAGACGGAATTGTCCTAATTATTGTTTATGGAGAAGATTACATTTAGTCATATCTGAAAATGGCAGTCTCATTGTTTTTCCTTTTATTATATTATTGTGTTTTTTTAAATTTATTAAAAATACTTATTTGTGATTGAACAATACCACTTTGGAATTGCGGGGCAAACATTTTCAACCACCAAACCAGATTCCCCATAGCAATTTTTCTGGTAATGACTACTTACTTATATTATTGTAAATTTTTAGTTCACTATTTACTTGATAATTTTACATTTTTTTCATGTTTATTTGTGGATCCTGTGTATTATTTGAAATGTTTCCATGTATTACTGTCAAACTATTTGTAAGTAAAATCCATTAAACCAAATTTGATTTTATATAAGTAACATCACTAAGTGCCTAAAATTAAACTTTGTTCCTGTGTTGCAAATCATATTTGAAGAAAGAATTATTAATATATTTATAAATAATTATAAATAAATTAGTTCATTTACCCAGTGCAAGTTCAAAAAAATAATTATTTTGTCAAGGAAATTTATTATTTAATGAAAATAAGTTTAGTTGGAAACAAGAAGAATCAAATTTCTAGGGAATAAATACTGCGGGAAAATTTAATGATTTACACTCAGTCTTTCAAGACAAGAGAAAACTTATAGAAAATAATTGACTCTTGCGCCAGCAAGGCTAGAGCCTTGTCAAGTTGTTGGCTCGTGTTTGGTCGTAGAGGAAGGCATAATCCAATTAGTGATGCTCACTTAAAAGCACTAGGCAGGGAGCATGTAAAGTTATTTAGCTGTAGCTGCAGTGCGGCAAAGAAAGCCAGCTCTTCAGACTTGAAAATGTCATAGATCAATTGTAGCGTTACTGAATTTAAAACTCTAGCAGGATTTGTATTGGCAATCTCATGACAAACTTTGTTCGTTTGGATTTATATACTCTAATATATACCGCTGAAGAGGAAGCATGTAGGTTAAATATCACTCCTAGTTAGTAACCACGCTACCAAAAGAGAATTTTGGTATATATAAACCTTAAAAACTGATATTTATGTGTATATTTTCTCGAAATTTGAGACCGTAAACTTGTGCGTACATCAGCGATATCAACACACTGTGTAGAGTTTTGAAAGCGTTAACATTCCATATTCCAAGAATTTTATTGTATTTATACGAAAAACTTTGCTACATTCAAAATGGTCGCGATTACATCTGTTCGAAAGACTCTGAAACCGCGCTTGTACAACCAAGCATGGCGCATGGGAACCGTGTTCCTCAACATGCCTACTTGGATCAATAAAATCAATACAGGTACGTGAAAGCAATAAGTGTAGACGTGCAATAATAATCAAATTGTTTTCTTCGTATTCTTATCCCATGTTTTAAATTGATAATCTTTTTTTGTATTTAATTTTACTCTTATTATGTTATGATTTTAAAAAAAGATAGATATAAAAGTAATGTTTTCCAATTAAAAAAAAAATACATGGAATTCAAACGCGAAAATTCACTTGTTTAATTTTTTAAAAATTTTGAAGTGCATGTAGAGGTTTATTAGAAAAACTAGAGAATTGTGAAGGGTTGTTTGTATCTACTATTAAGTAGCCAAATTGATGGTGAACAAATATATACTTAAAATATAAAGTATATACTTAAAATATATAGATATATACTTAAAATATAAAGTAATTGGAAGTAGAGACTGACTGACTGACTGGCCGACTTATAAGGTAAGTATTTTTTTGCATGAAATGTGAAGTTTGTTGTATGGGCTGGCATATCATTTGTAAATATCATTGTTGCTCTGGTTTGTAATACTTATATATCTTAAATTCATTTCTTATTTTTTTTATATTTAAAATGTGAAATCACATCTTATGATTTTGTTTTTTGTTTTCTTTTTACAACAGAACAGCAAAAGCCGAAACCTATTCCCCCTCCCGTCAAACCGCAACGTTTCTTTCCAGACAAAGGTAAAACCAAAATATTGTAGGGTACAGTGTACAGTTAAAATATATTGTTTTTGTTGAGCTAATGAATTTGATTAATAAATGCAGTATTTATGTTACATGCATACGATAACTTAGTTATTAGATTTATTGAAAATCAGAGTGAAGAAATATTTTATATTAGTACAATATTAACACAAAAATACATTGTTTGTATATTTTTTGCATTCATCATCAAACTCAAATGGTATTCTAAGAATTTTGTGGTTAAAATGGGTGTAACTCTGCAAAAGGGAATCATTTTAATCTGTAAAAGAATAATATTTTATATTTTGTAAAGTTAAAATATATGGTTTTTGTTGCGCTAATGAACTTGATTAATAAATTCAGTATTTATGTTCCATGCATACTATAACTTAGTTATTAGTTTTATTGAAAATCAGAGTGAAGAAATATTTTTCTCGCCAATTAACAACACAAAAATACATTGTTTGTATATTCTTTGCATTCACCATCAAACTCAAATGGTATTCTAAGAATTTTGTGGTTAAAATGTGTGTAACTCTGCAAAAAGAAATTATTTTAATCTGTAAAAGAATAATATTTTATATTTTGTAATGAACAATTCAATTTTTTTAGGGCTATTTTACATTTTATCAAATTTTATTAAAATTTAGATGGTTTTTAAAAGGTTAAATATTAATTTACAGGTAAAATGACTACCATTTTTTATTTCAAAATTGATTTTTGAGGATTGTGAATTGTCCAATTGTAGATCAAAACATATGATATGTCTTTATTTGGTTAATGTATGTTACTATATTGAATAAATATAGCTGTAAATCACATTGGATCCGAACCAAAATTTGGACCACATTTCCGATTCGCTGAATGCCAACGTCCGTATTCCTACATACCATGACTGTCGGCTTTCCAATCCGAAAATCCAGATTTGGCGTGAACGCCTTTTAAATATAACAATAAACCATACATTGAACTGTCATTCCTAAATAGAACAGTAATTCCCATCAAATTATATTCATATGGTTTCTATTGACATGTGCTAGAGTACGCTTCATATTTACCCCCCTTTGTTAGAAAGTCAACCAAAATTTACCCCCAGTTCAACCAATTGAGTCAGGTGATAACTATCTCATCATCATTTGGTATTCATATCAGTTCACTAGCGAGTGAGTTGTTTTTTTTTAGTTGAGAGCAATAACTTGTTTATCAAATGTTTGAGAAACAATAAATGGTTTCTTATTTTGCATCAGAACAAAACATTGAACATAATAATAAAAGAACCAGGGGTTTATATCTCCAAAAAGAGAACTTACTAAATTTAAAGTCTGTTGATAAGGAGAGCAATACAAAATGTTCTCTCATTTCTTTTACTTGTCATAGCGCCTTGGGGTGCTCACAAAGTAAGCCCCTGTCATGGCTATACATTTTAGATCTACTAAGGAAAGTACAGTATGTCATTTTGATATAAAAAATTGAAGGAATTCTCTAATATTCCAAGGGTCATATTCATAATGTGCACTGTATATTTTTCCCATGGGCCACTGCTTTCTGTCACTTTCCCCAACCCCTGAGGCGCCAATGCTTTGTTCTGTTATGTCCAGTAATTGGTCAGTAATTAAGCCATCTTTCTATACACCTGTAGCTTGTTTATGAAGAAACTTGGGATTTGGAATATTTACTTATATGATCTAGTTCTAGTGTTGATATAGATCATGAAGATAATATTGTAGGTCAGTTTAACATCTGTTATGTATTGATGACACAAGATGAGCACATCATCTTCCCCGGGGCAAAAAATAGATCAACTAGTCAGTGGTCAATGTCCTGAATTTTTTTTTTTTTTACTTATTATTTTTACCTTTGTTTTGTTTCTCCTGTTATTCTTTCTTTGACTTCATTTTGACTGCTTTTTTTCTTTCCTCAACTTCTCACCTTCTATTTATTTCTTTGTTTCCTGGATAGTTATATTGTATTATAATAATAATAATAATAAAATCTGGAAAAACATATCCATAAGACTACAAAGTGTTCATACATACACTATTGTATTTAAGTTATAGCTGAATTTATCAAATTCCAATGCAATATAGAGAAGATCAGTTAGGTTTTCGTAAAGCCCTACGCACTCTCAAATTTGACCATATATAGGCACATCATTACTGTATATGGGCATATAACAGTTATGATGACATCACATCATGACCATATATAGACACATCATGACTGTATATGGGCATACAACAGTTATGATGACATCACATCATGACCATATATAGGCACATCATTACTGTATATGGCATACAACAGTTATGATGACATCACATCATGACCATATATAGGCACATCATTACTGTATATGGGCATACAGCAAGTTTTTTGTCAAAGAATATTTGATAATCTGGACATAGTATTAAATACCGAAATCCTTGAAATTATTGCCAGCCAATTCAAGGGTTTAATGCAAGGAATAAAAACTGTATTATTGGTACACATCCATTAATTGGCAGAGAAAATTATTTTTTCTTCTAATTTTTAGTTAAAGACTAATAACTTCAAATACTATATTGAATTTTCATAACACAGTAAGTATATCATTATTTAAAAACAATGATAATAATTTGTGTACTTAATATTTGGTGAACAGTTTCACTGACTGCATCATCAGTATAATCATGGCTATTGCTTCCTCCATCGGTCGGTAATTTTTTTCAACTGGAACCACCAATTTTTAAAGTAGAAGCCCTTCTTCCATAGTTCGTCAAGAGAAGTCTGTTGAAAAGTAGTAGAGCCCTTCTCTTGACTCCCTATAAAAAGGGCTGTTGTAAGTGTTGAAAAGCTCCTTCATCGCGATTGATTTTGTACTTACTTTTCCGTATCCTAAAATTTACAATAGCTTAAACATGCAACTTGGTTTCATCTTTTTCTGATGATTGTTTTCTATTTATATCTACTATTTGTTGTGAAAACAACAAAATAAAAATAATTTGTTTAATCATTTTCCTCCCAGACTATATTAGTGAAGAAAATTCTGCATATGAAGGTATCATTTTTTAGCACAAAAGTTATAATGAATAATATTTATTAGTACATAGTCTTTCATAATAATCAACAATGGCTTTTTAACACTTATCACTTCCTTGCTAAGTTGGTAAGATACCTAGAATTATCTCAGTAGCAATGGTAGCCTAATTTTTGCTTAAACATGCTGTCTGCTTTCTTAAAGTATAGTCATGTGTCTAACATGATGGTACTACTACAAGTATTTTGTAGACAATTTGTTTTTGGTATTATGAACACAAAAATCATTTTGTCTGTCTAGCAAGCATGATGTAGTAAAAGTCTATAAATTTGTTTTAAATCTTCATATTAAATCTTAAAAATCTAGGGTCGGTGTACTCTTTGTCAAAAATATTTTTTGTTTGCCAAGGAGAAACTTAAAAATGTTTATTAGATTAAACTTCTTGAGCTCTATTAAAACTATCAACTGTTAAAAATAAATGTGATATGCCTATTTTGGGTTTCAATATGACATTGCACAAAGTTATCACATTAAAGTTGATAGTGTGGGGGGAGCTTTAAATGCATGTCTGGCAGAAAAGAATTGCTTCCCTCATTAATGGTTATCATGTTGACTAATTTAATTTTCAATATATGTGGCAAAGACAAGCCAAACCAATCACTCGTCACAAAAATCAATTTTTAATTATTAATTCAGGGTTAACAGTAAAGGGAGAGCTATAAAATGGTAAAAGAATCATTTAAATCCGACATTTCGTTATGAAGTTACAGGAGTTTAGACATAGAGCTGTTTAAAGAACAATATTTCAGAAATCAGTCTATGATTTTGGTCATTTATTTCTCAGGCAGAAACCATCAGTAAATTGTTAAAAATTGTAGTTTTTAACATTCAAATTGGGGAACATAATAGCATATCATGATATATAGATATATAAATGTTAGTTTAAAATAGATTTCAAAGATTTTGACATTCCAGCATGTTTTTACCATTATCTCTGAAGTAGGATTTGCAACGAGTGACTGGTTTAGCTTGTCTTTGCCACGTATATTTACAAATATCATATGCTCAAATTTAATGAATATAATTTTACCCTCTTAAAATAAACACATGCTAAATTACTTAGTATTAGAATTTAATCCATTATCGTTTATCCTCAGGAATAAGCACACCCCTTTAATTTTTCAGTAATTATTTTTTATGTGAAATTCTTCACACCCTAATCTTAGAATGGTAATTCTGTACTTTGTAAGGCCTAAGTCTTAAACTGAACTCTCTGAGTGACTAAGACATATTTAGCTCAAGTATGATCATGGACTCGCTCTGGCGTTTTTTCCTGTGCAGTAAACCTCCACCAAAATCGGCCTAACCCAATATTTTCAAGGGATATCCATTTACTAGAGGATGTTATGGTGAAATAAATGATATGGTAGTTAAATGATGATACTGGACACCATTTTTAATATATGGTCCCTGCTTTATAACTTCCACTACACTAATTTAATTTTTTTTTGCATGTCAAATACTACCTAGAAAATTTAAACAAGTTGTTTCCACAGTTTGTTATTTTAACATGGATGATAGCAATGGTATATTTTCAAAAATGTATCTCATAAATATGAAAGTTTTAGCTTTTAATAAAATTAGAATTAGAGCATTTAGCCTCCTAATTGATTTTTAATTGGGATAAATTTAACAATTTCGTTTGTAAATTAGGTATAATGAATGATTCAATTGTTTCTGCACTACCAAAAAATGATGATGGTGTAAAAAATGCATATCATGTGTCCTAGGTATGTGAATTGGCTTAACTACTTTAAATCGGATATGAATATGTTAATTTAATAGTACATCTTGCAGCTGTATCTGCCATATACACTGCTTTGCTTCGTTTTAATCAATCCATTCTATAATTTAATTAAGGAAATCGTAGAGTACTATACTTCAGTATCTACATTGGTTTCAATTGTTAACTATGGACTAATGAATTGGTAGATTGCATGATCAAGACTGTCTATGGGATGTACACCCCTCCCAGTAAAGCTTCAGTCCCCCATCAGTCCCCCTACTCTTAATACTTCACTGTAGGCTGACAGTATCACACCTGCATATAAGTTTGCATCAAGGTGTGAACTCTAATAAACCAGGATATGGCCTCCTTAAGCCTTTAATCCAGGCAGGAATTCTAGTTGTACATTCACCTGCAACCACCCAACTTATCTTTCATGTACATGTAGCTCACCTGTGCAAAATGCAATATAAGTATAATAAAACAATAAGCGATTGCTGATATTGCTTTGTAAGCCTGTCATGTTTAAAGGGAACTGTATACGCAGATAGCCACAATATGCCGTGGGATTGCTTCAGGTTACAACCACCTATGATTTCCTCCTCATCATTTTCGCTCTGTAGCGCTTGTAAAAACAATTAGATTAATCTCTCTGAACCCTTGGTAGATTACACATTGTTTTAAGTTATTATTAATAATTTAATTGCTGTATAATAAACTGAAGATATTAGGTCTCTCTTTCACCCCCCTCTCCCCCACAAAAAAATATATATCAATACATTCATATTTTGAAGGTAGTAAAAAATGTACTGAATATAAAATTTGTTTTCTGTAATGAAATGTGAATCTTAAATTTACAATTACATTTTAACCAGTAATCTCCTTTAGGATCCCTACAACGCCATACAATACTAAAGCTACGATCCAACCAATTCTAACCCTTGACGCTGTCGGGGGTTATAGGTAACACCCTATCCCAGTTGGTCCATTTTTGCACATCCATGCCTCCTCCCCTCCCCTCCCCCCAACAGTGCCAATCCTGACCACAGCTCTGTAGCTGTGTAGCTATAGTAGTTAAAGAAGGAAACACAGAACTGTCTTTGTCTTTATTTATATCTTATTAAATATTTATTATTTCTTTATTTAGTATGTAAGCATAAGAAAGAGGTAGAATGATATTTTTGGGGGCTTTTTTCAGGGTTGGATACTTACCCCAGAGATGATGATTACTTTGGCGAATACAAGGAGGAGGAGAACCCTATATACATTGCAGCATCAAAGCTGCCGCCACCACCAGTAAAACCAAAACCAACAGACAGAACACGACAGAAAGCACAACCAAGGGTAAGATCTTTACATTTACTAGGCTGATTTACTACTTTATTCATTCAACTAATGTTATCTTTTTTTTTTATAAAAGTTTATTATTTAAAAAAAATAAATATATTTAAAGTAGCGTAAAAGTACCCTTATTTGTTAAATAGATAAAAAGTTTAAAAAAGAAATAAACCAAGTATTTTTTTACTGCAATTCATTCTGAAAAGTACAATCAAATAAAACTAACTTTTTAATAATTTTTGATAAAAGCAAAAAATATTTTGTATTACAATACCGGTAAGTAATTAATAATTCTTCAGCTCAGATTACAAAAAAATTAATTTGAAATATAATTAATAATCTAATAATGTTGGTAACAATGACATGATATATAAATAAGAGCTGGTTGTAGTAGTTGATTAATACAAAGAGCCATGAAAAAGAAACTTTATAAATATGGGAATAGAAATTATGATAATATAATAATGGTGGATTTTGGTTAATGTTTGAATTATAAATGTCTTGTATTGTTTGCCACTTTGATTTCTTTGATGAAATGTTTTTCTTCCTCCATTATTATATAATCATTCCATGTGTTTTGTTGACAACAATCTTTTGTTTTTCAATCAGTGTACTATCATCACGTTATTTACTTGTGTTAGTTATCTGTTGCAACATCACCTGGAATGCCCCTTTATTATAAACAAATATCATTGTTTTTCAATGTTGCATAAAAATATTTTTCATTTGAAAAACAGACATTTTCAAGGTGATGCCATCTTATATGTTGCTCTCTTTCGTTTTTTGACTTCAAGTCAGGCAAAATTACAAAAGCAGCCAATGAGTTTTGCTTCTTTTATTTAGAAACTGGATATGGAAAAGTTCCATGATATCGAACAAGTCGTGGGAAATAATCTTGTGGTAAGAACACCTCAGTCTCAGAGAGGGGCCCCCCACTCTCATCCTATTGCCACGCCCGAGGGGTACGCTGTTCCTCACGATGTTCTTCACATGCCTGTCCATATTTCCGCTGGTGCTATCTACCATGAGCCTGTGGATGCTATTCAGGGGTCAAAGGTTGGCTTAAAATGCTTAAAAAAATTATTAATCCCAACCAAACTTTTTCTACATTGGAGAATCCACCAAAATTGTTCTAGCAGAAACAAACAAAACGTTAGTATCTTCCTACTCCGTCCCACTCTACAAAGTCTATTTCTTATTCAGTTATTGACCAAAATTTATAACTTATTGAAAATCATTCGGAAACAAAATAAAAAATATTGTTTTTATTGCTAAGGAGAAAAAAATACTGTAGATAAAAACCTACTCTTTCAAAAAATTAATAACCAAATCAAAGATAATTATGATACCCAAAATATGCAAATACTGTAATTATATTAATTCTTATGTTGTTACTCCCTTTCCATATTATATTTGCCTGTACCCTTTATTCCTGTATAGTGAATCGGAATGCCCCTGCTATGCTGAGTGTTGATTTCTTTACGATCGTATTCTTAGCTGTGTTTTAGATATCTGCATGGGTTTTTCTGTTTTGTTTGATTTCTGCTTGTGTCATTCTTGTTATGCAATCTTTTTAAATCATATTTGAGTTGAGCATGTGTATTCATTTAATTTTTTAGATGTCATAAAGTCATACACATACAGGCTGTCACATACTTTCTCGTATGTCGCCATACGCACACACTACTCATAAATATTCATCATATTCATATATGTATATAAGTTGCACATAGTTAATTTTGTGCATGCAATAGATTCTTTGAATTTGTTTCATATTGTCGCTAAAAATGGTGCCCAAAAAAAAAAGTATCATTGTATTTTAGAGGGTTAACATGGTTTTTATCATCATTAGAATAGTCATTATCATCACCAGCACCATTAATTGGTCATCATCAACATGGTCATCAATGTTATCATCATCACTAAGGTTTTCATCATTACCATCACCCAGACAATTTTCTTGCCCCCCCCCCTCCCCAAAATAAGAAAATCCATTGGGGAGAAAAAAATTATATGCATTTTCTATATATATGTAGACAATCCACCTATAAAATCGATTAGATAAGCCTCTAAATTCCCTAAATTGTCATATTTTTCGGGGGTTTCGCTCCCAGGACCATTTTCGAGATATTTTGAACAACGCCTGATGACACCCACATCCCAGCATATTTCCCCCTAAAATTTTACCTTCCCCCCCCCCCAGATTTGAGACTCTGACGCCACCACTGATCACAATTTTAGCATCAAGTTTTATATTCATTATTTATTACCAATGATATATTAATAAACAAATATAAACTAGGTAAAATTAATTATTGCTGTAATAAATAACAGATATTTAACAACACACATTTAATTATACATCTCATCTCAAATATGATTTTATAGATCAATTGACAAATAGAAATTGATATTGTGTTCTAAAAATATTATCAATTGATTTTATAGCTTTATATTTTTGTGCAAAAATGTTTGAAAAAGTTTGTAATTTACTAATCTTGTATTGTTGGATAAGTATTGTTTGAAATGTTAGCTTAACCTTTAACCTCTCTCTTTTCATACTTTTGAAAATAATTTTAATCGGTTATAAAATGTAGTACATATAATCAACAATATTTTGTGAATCCTAGCTGCATAAAAATAAAATGGTTCAAGGGTGGTTGGAATTTGGCCAGGATAAGGATTGGGAATTTCAGTCATTGAAAAACTTTAAAAAGACTTAGTTTCATATATCAAAAGTTAAACTTGCTTCTGTTGCTTGAGTTTTTGTTTTACATTCTTTGTATTTCGCTTCAAGCATAAACCATTTAGTTGACAGAAATGTCCTATTTATGGAATCCAGCTCTTTAGTGTGTCGTATTGAGTAAACCTAAGTAGTTATTGTAATTAAAGTTGATTGCGGAATTGCGTCCTTCAACACTTGCATATATTTAAAGTATTTCTTTCACATGACGATAATGTTAATGAACTCCATGCCATTCAGAAATTTATAACAACTTTCATTTGAGCATTTAATTAACATCATTAGTAATTTCACACCACACCCGACAATCTTGAGGAAATTTGTGTTTGGGATTTACCAATAGTTTAGAAATCTCCATAGGAATGTGACTGTAGTTCACCTTTTCTTCAATTTGTAGCTGAAGTAATCAATAAAAAAAAACACTCTGGAAACAAAAATTAATAATGTTAGAAAAAAAAAAACTGTCCCAAATATAATTTTTGTGGTTAAATAATTATGTTTTTAAAAAAGATTTCTTAAATTCATTTTTTTTTTAATACCAAAATTATATTATGGAATTATGGGACATTCTGTTTTATAAAAATTTTCTGATACAACATTTTGAATGTTGTACTCAATTTACAACATCATATCTGGAATTTAAATATGACCTTTTCGTAATACATTTCTGTATTGATAAAATTACTCCCTGGACAACATGGAAGTCTGTGACATCAAACAAACAAAATTAGATTTGTTATCGAGAGCCCCTTGCCACATCAATGTCACCCAAGTTCAAAAGGCTTTGAAAATTGTCACTTAAGTGTAATTGGAAGTGACAAGATTCTTTACTGATGATCCAAAAGGACACTTAATATTAACACTTTTGTGATTGCAAATTCACGCCAATTTTTTGTTCAACCGAGCATTATGGCATAGGTGACTGACACTAGTACTAGTCACCAGTACCTTATATGATAAAATTAAATATATTATTGACCATAATCATCTATTATATATTTAGGTATATTTATTGCAAAACAGAATCGCACATACAAAACAGTCTATTGCAGCATAAGCTGAATTGAGAGACTGAAAAATTATTACAAATATTGGCCATTAAAAATTTACGAATCATTAAAATAGAGCAATATTAAACATTAAAATTTACATTAATACCTTAAAAATTACAATTATCATTATTATGTTTGATATTCTCAGCATTATTATTACAGTTGTCATTTCCCATCATGATTTATATCACAATTATCTTAATTTTAATCATCGTCTTCATTACCACTGCCACCACGTTCTCCATCAGTTTTATTTTCCTCTTAAAATTTGTCATCATAGTCATCATCATCTTAGTGACCATCTTCATAACAGCATCAATACCAATATGATTATTCTAGTTATTATAATAATGAGAATAGTGATATATAATAATATTCTGCATCATCAACTTCTCTATAATCTTAATTTCCATCATTTTAGTTCTGGGACGGATTGCTATAAGCGGTCTTCAGACGGTCTTAACGGTTAGCTGGCTATAATCGTGATGTCACTACTGTCTATGATTATAGACCATTACTATACCGTGGTCTAACCAGTTAGACCATCTTAAATTTTAAAGCCTACTCGGAGGAGGCTTAAAACGGTCTTCAATCATTTTCATCATGACGTTGAGGCCTAGATCGTCGAAGTCAGAGAATCAAACAACGAATATTCCGCACACTTCTCAGCGTCTGTGAAAATAGGTCTACGTTCATTTCGATACATTTTACGTTACCATGGAGTGCTTGTTTGCATTTCAATATCAAGTCGGTCTTAGGGAAGACTGTTTTATAGCAATGGTCTTAGAAGAATGAATTTAGTAAGACCGTCTAAGTGATAATGCCAGTATTATTTGAGAAGTCAAGACTACCAGTTAAGACCGTCTTATAGCAATCCACCCCTGATTCAATAGTTTTGTTTATCATCTATCATCATCACCAATCTATTACCAAGACCACCACAGCCAATTGTGTTATATATCTTCATTACATCTATTTAGTAATTATTTATAGTGTATCAAGCAGTCATGTTCAGTTATCTTTGCTTTACAAATTAAAAGCATACTTCACTTAGTACTATCACCCACATATGTACATAAAAGAAACAGCCTCCGCTAGATTGAAAGTTCATCTCGTAAACATTGTTGATGGCATTTAAAAAAAAAAAAAACATTTTTAAATAACTTTTGCCAGAGCTTGCACATACCTAATATTTGATTGTTTGTTTTTCTATTTGAGGCTTGCCATCCAAAAACCAGCGTATTGTTTCTAATTGTTAAACTAATTAGCATAAGAATGTGTCAGTATTGTATACTTTAGTACAGAGAAGCAGTAATACTTTTACTCATAACTTTGGTAATAGTAAATCAATTCCAGTAACTGACCCATCATTTTAAAGCTTATAATGTGGAAAATATGAATATATTAAAAAAGTCAATTTTCATTTTATTGGTCACTGATGCTAGTTTTGGGATGACAAGTCTCATTTGAACTTTGACTTATGTTTTGATAGATATAGATGTTTTGGGTAACCACCACTAAAAATAGTTGACTAGTCTTTAGGTTTAAACCATAGTTGCTTGATCTAACTGCCCTATACGAATGCTATGCATTGTGGTATTGTTAATACTGTATTTTTATCTAAGTGATGATAAGTAGTTTTGTTTGATTCGTGTTTCATTTGTAGCCACGGAAATTTCCATCTAATTCTAAACAGCCTAGCATAGCAGATACAAGGACAATCAGCGGTAAGAAGAAAAACCCACCGACTACACCATTGTCTCCAAATGCAAATGGGAGATTACTTGTTGATGAACTGGCGAAGACGTTCAGTAAGGATAATGCAAAAGATGAATCACTTGGTAAGCCCGCTTACCCATTTTGGTAAATTAATCTACACAAGCGTGGGGTGCAGCAGTATGGTGTCCAATCTAGAAAATATGCAATTTAGCTCTTCAGACTTTTCAAGTGATGGTTTATCATGACATGTTTTGCATTGAGGGTTGAGGACTGGTGTTTGTGCTTGAAGATAAATGCCAGTCAGATTAAAATCTAGAAAGTTGAATAATAATGTGTTTTATAGTAATAGTTTAATTATAATAATGTGTTTTTCGCATCACTATTTTTATATAAACAAAAATGATAATGAGAGAAACACGTTTTTTTAACACACATGGACAAATATGACTATTACATATATATTCTGGTAGGCATCTTGTACAGGGACGTGTTCCCTTTTTTGCCTACCAGACTTATTACATTTTGAGTGAAATAAAATTATGAATTATGAATTATACAATAATAGTTCAATAATCACTAAATACACATACATAATCCATTTAATCAATAGACTGTCCAGATTATATTAGATATCTGATAAAAATTTCAAAAAATATCAGAAAATATTCATCAATTTCTCATAAACCATAACATATATGCTTACAATTTTCCACAAAATTATTCAATAGCTGGCTAATTTACACATTTTTCAATTATCTAAATAGAACAAACAGAACACAAGTAAAAATTAATAAAATTTACTGTCAGAGTAGCATTCTGAAGCTCAGCTTCTGCCCATAAACGATCTCTAAATTGGGCATCAAATGCAATGAACTTCTGGAATAATCCATACAGCAAACCAAGCAGATCCAGCTCCTGTAACCATAACAAAATTTAGAGATTAGAACTTGCAAACTTATAAATTACAATAATTGAATTCTTGAATCGGCATATGAATATGAATAAGAAATTATTGTAATATAAAAAGAGTAAAATTACAAGACAATCAATTAAATGAAAAAAATAAATGTACAAAATCTTACTTCTCCTGTTTTATCCAGCTCAGGAAATGGCTTACAATTGATACCAAAGAGTCTGGATACAGAGTCTAGTGTTTTTCTTTTAGAGTCATACAGCTTGTAGATCTCCAAGAACTCATGCAGCCTAGAGACAGCTTCAGCTGGCTGGACACCTGGTAC